GGATTCTTGTTTTCCAGTTTGATCAGATAGCAGAGAGAGGAAAGCAAAAAAGAAACCCCCAGGTCCAGGACTCGAACCATGGTCAGCCATGTGGGAGTCCAGTGCCGTTAACCACCATGCCACCTGCCAGCCCCTCTATTTATTTATTATTTTTTTAGAGACCTTTTTGCTATAGGGCTCATGTGCTTGCCAGAGAGACAGAGACAGAAAGCAAGAAGTTGCCCCCTAGAGAGGATGGCCATAACTCAATCCCTTCTCCTCTGTTCTCCTCTTGGGATCTTGGGCATGCACACACACGTGCCCAGAGTGAGTTTTAAGCCGCTGGGTCCAGGACTGGAACCGCGGTTGACTACTTGGGAGTCCAGTGACGTAACCATTGTGTCATCTGCTCGTCCTAAGACTTATGTTTATAAAGGTTTTTATTTATAAACAAAGTATTGGGAGAGATGGAAAGGGAAGAGGAGTGAGTAGAGTCAGTAGAACCAGACACTGAGTCTACTGAGATTTCTTAAAGCAAATGAACTTACTATCAATAGTTTGGGTAGGATTGCAGAGGAGAGTCCCAAAGGAAATGACTGCAAGAGGGTTAGCTTTTGTGTGGAGTGGAGCAGTGATTCCTAAACCAGAGAATTGGAGTAGGTTTTGAAACTGCTGAGTAAAGACAAAGAGCAGTGTACGCTAGTGTTGTGAAAATTCTAGAGGGGTCCACTTGGTAAAGACCAGTAAAGATCAGGGGTTTAAGCTTGACTGAAGAGGTACTTGGAGCCACTACAAGCTTTTGAGAAAGCGAATGAATGTCAGGTTCAAAACTACATATATATGTGCATTTTATTTTGTTTTTTTTTAGGCTTTTGCCATAGGGAATGTGGCCTAGAAAGAGACAGAGAGAACGTGAGAAATCACTACCTGGGGGATGGCCATGCTGCTATCCCTTCTCCATTCTCCTCTTGGGGTTTGGGGTGCTCATGCATATGCACCTGGTATGATTTTTAAGCTGCCAGTCCAGGACTCAAACTGCTGCCAGTTATGTGGGATTCCAGTGCCTTAACCACCGTGCTACTTGCTCACCCTCAAAACAATATTTTAAGAAAATGGTTTTTGACAGTTTGTTGGGAAAAGAGGAGTTTATATAATTCAATAATAATTATTAATAACTATGATACCTTTGTGTGTATTTTCTGTTATCAGAGTGCTTTTTACAAATGTTCCTTGGAACACTCCTGTGAGATAGTTTTTGGTTTATAATTGCCAGAGGCTATGTGTGCTTGCCAGAGAGAGCAGGGAGAGAGAGGTAGAGGGAGCAAGCACCCTCCCTGAGGGGGTAGTCATACCATAGTTCTTCTCTATTTCTCCATCATATCAAGATTTGTGTGTGCATATACATGTTTCCCGATGTCTTTTTTTTTTTTTTTTTTAAGAATTTAACTTGATTTATTTATTTGACCAGAGAGGAACAGAGTGAGATTGAGACTGAGAGAGAGAGAGAAAGAGAGAGAAAGCCTCCAGGGTCGGGACTTGAACCTTGGTCAGCCATGTGGGAGTCCAGCACCTCTAAACATCATACCACCTGCCGACCCCTCCCTGGTGTCTTTTTTCAAGCTGCCAAGGCTGGGTGGGATTTGAACCCTAGTTGACCATGTGAGGTTGGGCTCCTTTAACCACTAGGTCACAGAGGCAATTTGGTAGGTTTTTGTGTTTATTTGTTTGTTTTTAATTGCCAGAGGGTGCTCATAATTGCCAGAGAGGGAAGGGAAAAAGAGGAAGAAAGCATCCTCCCATGGGCTGTGGTTTCATCACAAACCCTTCTCCATTTCTTTTTCCTGTCAGGATTTTGGGCATGCATGCACAAGTGCCTGGTTTATTTTTCAGGCTACTGGAGTCAGGATTTGAACTGTGCTGTCAGCTAAATAGGTCTGTTTTTCTTAACCACTAGAGTAGAGGTAGACCCAATAATTTTTATTCCATTTTTCATGAGGGAAAATGGAGGCCCGCATTGTTAAATAACTCTTGGGGTCTCTGAAAAGTCATGACATGTTTTTTCATAGAAAAACAAGAAAATACCCAGGACTTTTCCAAAGACCCAATAGTTTATGGTCACACAGACTTTTTTTTTTTTTTTTTTGAGAGATTTTTGCTATAGGGCACGGGCGCTCGCCAGACAGACATAGAGACAGAAAGCGAGAAATCACCCCCCATGGGGGATGGTCACGCCGAAATCCCTTCTCCTCCATTCTCCTCTTGGGCTCTTGGGCACACACGCACATGCGCCCAGCGTGAGTTTTAAGCCACCGGGTCCGGGACGCGAACCGCGGTCGACTACGTGGGAATCCAGTGACATAGCCATTATGCTAACTGCTGGTTCCCGTTCACACAGATGTTTAATGGCAGAATTGAGATTCAGACACCCTTTCTATCACACCTCAGCAGTTTCAATTAAGGATTGGACAAGAATTGTATGATTGGAGAAGGAAAGAACAGCTGATTGGTCCTTTCTTCAGAACAGATTTAAAATGTTGGTTTAAGACCAAGTAGAACTAAAATTACAGAAAAAAGTTCTGTTGATATTGGAAATAACACAATGAAATTCTTCAGAAAATCTTCCAAAAGTTTGCATTGTTTCTACCTGTAGTTTTTTCTTGCTCCTCTCAACCCCTAGCCTTGGGCTTTTAATCTGGAGACGGTTCATTCCATATGTACATTTTTTAGGAAAGGAATGTCCACATTGAATGAGACTGGTAAATCTGTCAGTATTAGTAAATTTAAACACTAGCAGTTGTCTCTTATTTGAAAATCATACCTACAGATCAAACCTCAGCTGAAAGAAAATATTTTTAGCCCTACCTTATTTATTTACTTAATGAGAGATTTTTGCTGTAGGGCGCATACACTCGCCAGAGAGACAGAGAGTGACAGAGAAACAGAAAGCGAGAAATCACCCCCTGGGGGGGATGGCCATGCCACAATCCCTTCTCCATTTTCCTCTCAGGATTTTGGGCATGTATACACATGCACTTGGCATGAGTTTTAAGTCACTGGGTCTGGTACTTGAACGGTGGTCAGCCGTGTAAGAGTCCAACAATGTAACCACTACGCCATCTGCTGGTCCCTATTTATTTATTTTTAAAGTTTGCTATAGGGCATGTGCACTTGTCAGAAAGAGACAGAGAGCAAGGGAAAGGGAGAAATCACCTCTTGGGGGAATGGCCATGCTGGAGGCCCTTCTCATTTTCTTCTTGGGATTTTGGACATGCATGCACACATGCCTGGTGTGTTTTCCAAGCTGCCAGGTTTGAGACTTGAACCATAAGTCAGCTATGTGAGATCCAGCCTCTTAACTACACCACTGGCTGTTCTTACTCTACTCTACATTTAACATATAAGGTGCTGTGAGTGGTTTGTTAGGAACAGTTACACAATTGTAGAACCGCAAGACACTTATAAAAGCATTTGCCCCTGGGAACCAGCAGTTAGCGTAATGGCTATGTCGCTGGACTCCCACGTAGTCGACCGCGGTTCGCATCTCGGACCCGGTGGCTTAAATCTCACGCTGGGCGCGTGTGCGTGCCTGCCCAAGATCCCGAGAAGAGAATGGAGGAGAAGGGATTGCGGCGTGACCATCCCCCCTGGGGGGTGATTTCTCGCTTTCTGTCTCTATGTCTCTGTCTGTCTGGCGAGCGCACGCGCCCTATAGCGAAAACCTCTCCAAAAAAAAAAAAAGCATTTGCCCCTTTCTGCCTATGCACAAGGAAATGGGCAGAGTCAACCTAATAATGAGCTGTACGGTACTCTTGATTTATATGTGTGTGTGTGTGTGTATGTATATACATTTTATATACATATATTAATTTTTAAAAGAATTATTTTATTTAGCTTTATTTATTTATTTTAGTTTGGCCAGGTAAGGACAGAGAGAGAGAGGGAAAGTGAGAAAGCAAGTTGCAATGTCTGGGACTCAAACCATGGTCAGCCATGTGAGTCCAGTGTCCCTAGTCACCACACCACCGGCTAGCCCCAATATATATATTTTTTAATCCCGAGATTTTATCTTTATTTTATAGATGACCAACCAATGCTCACAGAGGTTTTTGTCTAATATGTAGCTATGAACAGTGGAGCCAAAAGTCAAAATAGTGGTTTTTTTTTTAAAGAATTTATTTAACTTTATTTAGGTATTTATTTTAATTTGACCAGAGAGAGAGAGAAAGAGAGAAAGCAAGCTGCTAGATCCGGGACTCAAACCGTGGTTAGCCATGTGGGAGCCCAGCACCCTTAACCACCATGCCACCTGCTGGCCCCTAGTACTTTTTAAATTTTTAAGTGGTTTTTGCCTTAGGGTGTGTGCACTCCCCAGGAACGGAGAGACACACACACACAGAGACAGTGAAAGGGAAAGTGACCCTTCCCCCGGGGTGGGGGGTGGTGATGACCATGCTGCAATCCTTTCTCCTCCATTCTCCTCCTGGGATCTTGCAGGTGCATTCACATTCACCCAGTGTGTTTTCAGCTGTTGGGTTCAGGACTTAAACTGATTGGCTATGTGGGAATCCAATGACGTAACCGTTACTCCATTTGCTCGCCCTCTATCATTTAGTTTTTATAGAGGTTTCCTTATGACGTGATTTATTAAATTACTGGCTTCTGGTGATTAACTCAATCTCTGGTCCTTTCTCCTCCTAGAGGTGGGGATAGTGTCCTTCCCAAGCCCCAGAGTTCCAACCCTATAGTCACATGGTGCTCCTTTGGCCACCCATCACCCATGAGTGACCTCATTGGTACAAGCTCATGTAGGGTTGAAATAGGCTTATGAATAACAAAACGCTCTTCTCTTACCCCATCACTCAGAAATTCCAAGGGTTTTAGGAACTCTGTGTCAGGAACCTGAGGTGACCAAATATGTATTTCTTATTAGGATGTCACAGCGTCACGATGTCTTTGTCTTTGCCTTCGACATATGGAGTCTGACATAGATTCCTGACAGACTTTTTTTTTTCTTTTTCTAGAGGAACCAGACTAGCATCTTCCAGTGGGTTCCAGTATGCAGCCGACTGGTACCTGTGTCTCCTATCCAAGGACAGGAGGGCAGGACACTGTCTGGTATTTCCCAGGTAAAGTTTGTTGTTCCTTTTCTTGGTATGAAAACCTTCATGTTTATGTAATGTATTTGTAATGTGCAAATGTCATGTATTTATAGATTAGCCAACCTAACTCTGTGTTGGAAAAACCTCATGAGACCACTCTGGGTCTCTATGGTGTCAGCTTAGGTCTGATTCCTACAGTATGGTGTCTAGGGCGTTGCTTCTAAATACCCCAGCAATGGAACTTAGCCTAGGATACCATGCTACAGTCTGATGATTTTTACTGTTAGGGAGTTCTTCCAGATATTCATCTCAGAGTTAACCTTTTTTCAAGTTTTCTTTTTGTGACTGTTTTGCGCCACTTTTATTTGGGGTGAGAAATGTTTCTTTTTCTTTTCTTTTCCCTTTTAGAACATAAAATCCAAGAAAGGATTTTTTATTTTTTCTTAATTCGAAGAGACAGAGGGAGAGGTAACGTCAGAAGGCAACCCCCAGGGAGATGGCCTTGCTGAAATCCCTTCTCTGTTCTCTCAGGATTTGGGGCACACACACACGCCTAGTGTGTTTTTCAAGTTGCTGGATCTGGTACTTGAACTGCCATGGTCAACTATGTGAGGTCTACCCGCCTTAACTACCACACCGCGGACTGACCCATGAAACAGTTATTTGGGTTTTAGTTTACCTTTGACCACATGATTCATTATAGTGTAATTTACCTTAGACCCTCAGTGAGGAGTTTATTCCTCTGTTTTTGTTAGTTATACAAATAACTTAGTAATAAAAGAAATAAAACTCATCTGTGGCTTCAGATATAAAAACATCAATATTTTAATCCCTGCTGGTTCTTTTCCAACCCTTATGTGTGTGTATGTGTGTGTACTAATTTTTTCCTTAGGTACCTTAACAAATATCCGCTAGAACAGGTATGATTCATGTTGTTTAGGTAGACTTTGTAATTAATTATTTTTATTTTTTAATTTTAATTTTATTTATTATTATTTTTAAAATTTGCTACAGGGCACACATACTCACCAAAGAGAGATAGAGAGACAGAGAGAGAAAGCGAGAAACCAAGCCTCCAGGTCTGGGACTCAAGCTGTGGTCAGCCATGTGGGAATCTAGTGCCCTCACCACACCACTTGCTGGCCCCTATAATTAAAGTTTTAATGGCTATATGACATTCTATTTATTATTTTTTTGAGATATTTTTGCTATTAGGATGTGTGTGCTCACTAGAGAGACAGAGACAGAGAGATAGAAAGTGAGAAATCACCCCCAAGGGGGTTGGCCACGTTATAATCTCTTATCCTCCATTCTCCTTTCGAGATTTTGGATATGCATGCTCCTGTGCCCAGAGTGAGTTTCAAGCTGCCGGGGCTGGGACTTGAACCATGATCTACCACATAGGAGTCCAGCACTTAACTACTATCTATGCCACCTGCTGGCCCCCTTGACATTCTATTTACCTAGCCTATGTTGGATATTAAAATCTTTTCTTTTTTCCTTGGCCACTATAAGCTTTAATTTTTCCATTTCCTTAGCTTTTTTTTTCTTATTTTAAATTATTTACTGAAGATAAATTCCTAGGAAGGTATACCCTGGATCGAAAGGTTTCTCCAAAAAGTTGTTTTAATTTCTTAAGCTACCAACAATGCATATGCAACTTTTTTTTTTTTTTTTGAGAGAGTTTTTTTTGTTTTTTTTTTGCTATCTAGTGCGTGTGCTCGTCGGCAGGACAGAGACAGAGAGATAGAAAGTGAGAAATCACCCCCCAGAGGGGATGGCCATGCCTCAGTACCTTCTCCTCCATTCTCCTCTTGGGATCTTGGGCACGCACACATACACATGCACCCGGCGTAAGTTTTAAGCTTCTGGGTCCTGAACTTGAACCACAGTGAACTATATGGCAGTCCAGCAAAGTAACCATTATGCCATCTGCTGGTTCCTTGTTTTAAATCATTACCTCCTCCATGTTAGGTACTTTTTATTTAATTTTATTTATTCATTCATTTTATTTTAATTTGACCAGACAGAGAGAAAGAAAAAGAGGGAAAGTGAGAAAGCAAGCCACCAGGTCCAGGACTCGAACTGTGGTTGTCCATGTTGGAGTGTCCAGTGCTTTAACTAAACACCACGCCACCTGCTGGTCCCCATGTTGGGTACTTTTTAAAAATTTAAATTAACCATATGGAAAATGTTACTTTCTTTGTATTCATCTAGCTATCATGGTTATACATTTTTTTCTGTTTATCAGTTGTATTCTACTTTGTGAGAATTATATACTTATATAACTTCACCATTCATCTACTAGAAATTGAGTTTTCTTACCAATTTCTATTAGTTTCAACTGTAGCCATTAACTTTTCCATATTTGATGAAATTTTAAAAAATTACTGGGGCTGGCAGGTGGTGTGGTGGTTAAGGGTGCTGGACTCCCACATGGCTGACAGCAGTTCGAGTCCTGGACCCGCAGCTTGCTTTCTCAATTTCTCTCATACTCTCTCTTTCACTCTGTCCCTCTTTGGTCAAATTTTAAAAATAAATAAATAAATAAATAAATAAAGTTAACGAGACCAGCAGTTGGTGTAATGGCTATGTCGCTGGACTCCCATGTAGTTGACCATGGTTTGAGTCCCAGACCCAGTGGTTTAAACTCACGCCAGGCACATGTACGTGTGTGCCCAAGATTGTGAGAGGAGAATGGAGAAGGGATTGTGGCGTGGCCGGGGGGAGGGGGGAAGATGATTTCTCACTTTCTGTTTCTCTGTCTCTCTCTGTCTTTCTGTCTTTCCTCTGTCTTTCTGGTGTGCGCACACACCCTATAGCAAAAACCTCTTAAAAAAATAGAATAAATAAATAAAGTTAACTAAAATAATTCTTTAAAAAAATTACTTTGGCTATACTTTATTTATATAACATATGTAGTTAACAAATTTTAAAATTCTCTTCAAGTAAAATATAAGTCCTTCCTTTCTGAGGATTTTTTTTTTTTTTTAAGAATTATTGTATTTAACTTTACTTATTTATTTATTTTTAAAAATTTGACCAGAGAGGGACAGAGCAAGAGATAGGGAAAGTAAGAAAGCAAGCCAGCTGCCAGGTCTGGGACTTGAACCACGATCAGTCATGTGGGAGGTCAGCACCCTTAACCATCATGCCACCTGCTGACCCCCTGAGGATGTCTTACTTGACCCTGGATTTCTTGGGTTTTCACTAAGCCTCGCATAGAGTAGGCAGTAAATATATGTTTACTGAATGAAGAATAATACCTGTGCAAAAGAGGTACCTAATTTTGGGTAGTCATGCTGGCATTTCTTTTCAGAGCTGAGATGTGTTCTACTGAAAAATTTAGATATAATTTTTCATATCATTCTAAATCATTTGTCATTTATATGTATATAGAAGGTTGGGGGAAGGTACTTATATGAATTTCTGACTTGTGCCTCTTTCTTTGGATCAGTAAACATTTCTTGAGTACCCAGTATGTCACAGATAATGTATTAGACTCTGGGACAACATTAGAGCAATAAATCCTTTTTCTTAAAAAAAAAAGAATTATTTTATTTAACTTTATTTATTCATTTATTTTAATTTGACCAGAGAGAAACAGAACAAGAGAGTAAGGGAGAGAGAGAAAGAAAATGAGAAAGCAGGCTGCCAGGTCTGGAATTCAAATCATGGTCAGCCATGTGAGAATCCAGTGCCCTTAACCACCTTACTACCTACCAGCCCCATAGAATACATCCTTGTAAATAGCTCAAGGTGGCTTATCTCTGAGTTGCATTTTGACCAGATGTAATTTTAGTCAGTATAAATAAACTGACATTTATCATATTAACTATAACTAGTTGGTATATCTTTACATTCTCAGAGGTTCCCTGGTTAGAAACTTTTGCTTCAAAATAGTATTCTTGGGTACATGTCTGACAGGGAGACAAATTTGATTCAGAATGAAGGGGAATTTTATTTTAATGGGAACTATGGTGTGGGCCCACCATGTGTGCAGTAGTTAAGCTGGTGCTTATGAAGCCAGATCCCACATGGCCAATTGTAGTTCGAATCCTGGTCTCAGCAGCTTGAATAACTGAACATGTGTACATGTGGACCCCAGATCCTGATAGAATGGAGAAATTGAGGGAAGAAGAATTGTAGTATGGCCCCAGTTGGCCACTTTATGTGCACTCTGGCAATAAAAGAAAAACATTTTTCTTGAATTTGCTGTACAGTGTGTATGTTCACTGGAAAGAGACAGCAAGAAAGAGAAAAAGTGAGAAAACCTCCCTCCTTGGGATGGGGGAGTTGGGGGATGACTACACTGCAATCCCTTCTCTATTCTCTTACCAGGATTTTGGGCACACATACACATACACTGAGTGTGTTTTTCAAGCTGCCAGGTTCAGGACTTGAACTGTGCATTTGGCCACGTGGGATCCAGCTGTCTTTTTGTTTTTTTATTGTCTAATTATAATTTAGAAATCAAGATCTGGGTGCTTATGGTACATGAACCTCTGTTGTTGAACTCTAGTCAGGTTTTTGAAGGCAGCTTGATATGAGACAGAAAATACCTCTGAATGTATGTTCTACTCCTTGGTGGCCTTCACTTCTTTGACCCTTATCATCCTAAGTTCTAAGATAGGAAAAAGTAGTATCTACTTTACCAAGTGTTTGATAATGCAGGGAAAACACCAAGCATGTAGGCACCAGGCATATGCGAGATCTACAGTAAGTTGTAGCTGCTATTTTTGTTGCTATTCTGTTCATGCTACTTGGGTAAGTTTTCTTCTCACTGCATGAAGTGAAACTTAAAGGAAAAAAAATTGTCCTAAAACTACCTTAACCAAGTTGCAACCTTTCCCTTGGTCTTATTAGTTTTCTCATCTATGAAGTGAAAAGGTTGGACCAGAAGATCTCTGAGATTTCTTCCAGCTCAAGTGTTGTTATTCTAAGTTACTCCTTATTTCTTCAGTTGCCTTTTCTCCAAGCTAAACAGCCTCAATTCATTTTAACCTTTCCACTAGGACCTTTTATTC